GTGGGGGCCAAGGCGGAGGGAGGGAGGGTGGGCTAACATGGGGCAGAGGCTGGGTCCTGGGTGGGAAGGGCAGGTGGGGCTCTGGGAGGCTTATCTGGGCCCAGCTGGGGAGCTCAGGCCTGGCAGCCACCGATAAGGCCGTCCCACCTGGTTTGGAGAGATATAAGGGCCAGGGCAGCCACATGCTAAGAACCATCTGAAGAAGGGTCTGGGAGGTAATTCATGCTAGAGTCAGGTTCAAGGAGCTCTGGTGGCATAGTGCCTAAAGCATTTGACTGCTAACCAGAAGGCTGGCAGTTCAAACCCACCAGCCACTCCTAGGAAGGAAGATGGGGCAATCTACTTCTGTAGAGATTTAGATTTACTGCCTCCAAAACCCAGTGGGGGTCGGTGTGAGTCAGAATGGACTCGATGGTGGTGGGTTTGCTGCTTTTTTGTTTTTTTAGACTAGGGTTCAAGTCCTGACTCTGCCACTGAGGGGTGCCCCCGCACAGCAGCTGCTCCTTTTGGGACCTCAGTGTCCTCATCTGTAAGGCCACGGGTGACTGTATTAAACCAGGAAACTAAAAAGGGTTAGATGCACAGGTGACGCTCAATAAATGACGCTCCTTCATTTACTTGGGGGAGGAGGCATTAAACAGTTGACAGTCCTCATCTCAGCTTTCTACCAGCCCTAAGGAATCTTGGCTCAGATGCCCCCCACTAGGTAGCCCTGGGCAGAGGCCTGCGGGGGGGGGGGGGTTGCTGAAGGGCGTGAGTCCAAGGGGGCGCCAGATGAGGCACAGAATGACATTCCAAGGCGCCTCAAATATGAAAGGCATCTGACTGAGGCAGCCGGACAAAAGAGGGGAGGGTGATTTCAGCTCCGGCTGGTAGGGTGGCTGCTATCAATGTCTATTTGGCCAAAATTGGGGGGAGGGGCGCAGGGGCACAACTTAGAAATTGTCCCGGGGAGCTTGTTACCCTTGCTTCCCCTCGGAACAGACGACCTCACCTCCCTGTGCCTCAGTCGCCCTATCCTAATCTGGTCAGGTTCCGGTGAAAAGTCCGTGTGGTCATTCATTCTGTTCTTGCATACAGCAGGCACTCAATACGTGTCCAGTGAGTGACTGGCTGGGGAAACGGCCCGGAGAAGGAAGGGGGTTGTCCTACAGAGTGGGAGGACACCATTCAGGCCAGCCCTGCGCTGGCTCCTGGACCCAGCGTTGGGTAGGGGGTAGGGCAAGGCGCCCACCCTTGAGGATAGCCCAGTCTGACCAGGGTGGCCGTCAAATCGATTGGACTCATAGCGACCCCTCCTTGGGTGTCTGAGGTGGTATCTCTACGGAAGTAGATTGCGCAGATCGTCCTTCTGAGGAGTGGCTGGTGCGTTTGAACTGGCCGCCTAGTTAGCAGCCTTAGGCACCAGGCCACCAGAGTTTCCCGACTAAGCACACAGCGACATAAAACTGAGTCGTAAAGAACTAAACAAAGTCTATGCGCGACTGGAGGGCTCAGGATTTGACACTTGGGTGGAGATGAGCGTGTGGATCAGAGCAAGGGCGTTCCCAGCAGCGCAACAGCCAGGGCAAAGGCCAAGAGTCAGTACCCGAGCATGGGGTGTTTGGGGACCAGTTGGGAGGCGAATGGGGCTGATGGAGGGCGCCTGGGGCAGTGCCCAGGGCAAAGGGGTGGGGGACGTGCAGAACCACGAGACTGAAGCTGGTGGCCGCCGCCAGCGCGGCCACATCCGTCCCTGCCAGCCTCTGACTCAACAGCGCCGACCCTATACAAACAGGGCCCGCCCCCCTAAGGGGCTGCAAAGTCAACCCGGCGGGCGCGCAGTCTCGGCGCGTCACGGGGCGGGCGCGGGGACCAGGAAGTTGGAGGAGGACCCAGGGCGCCCGCACTAGTGCGCGGAAGCCGGAGCAAGCCGGAGACGCGCGGGCCGCGAGGAGGAGCGCCGAGCCCTGATGCTTGCAGACACGCCCGGCCGTGCGCCATGCGTCCCTGGGGCCTGAGCAGTTTTGCGCTGGAGCTGGCCCGGGGCCCAGGAGGCGCGTACCGTGGCGGGGAGCGGCTATGCGGCCGGGTGCTGCTGGTGGCGGCAGCGCCACTGCGGGTGCAAGCGCTCGAGGTGGCAGCGCGAGGAGGGGCGGCGGCGCGCTGGCTCGAAGGCCGCAGCGTGGGCGTCAACGCTGTGTCCAGTGACTACGCAGCCGCCGAGACGTACCTGAGGAGGAAGCAGCTACTGCTTCGAGGTGAGGCGCTCACCGGTCAGGACTGTTTCGGCAGGGTCTCCCTCCTCTGGGTCTGGCCGCCTCCTGCCCTCCAGAGCTGGGAGCCCTTTGACTTAGAGATTGTGCTGTCAGATGACCTCTCTTCATTCGTGTGGATCCCCTATCTAGAGTCTGGACACTCACCAGCATACTCCTCTCGTCCAGAACCCCTTGTCCAAGATCTCCTTCCCGGTGTCTGGGCTTCTGCCAGAGTTATGGTTGTGTAGTGATTAAAGCATTTAGCTGCTAACCAAAAGGTCGGCGGTTCAAACCCACCAGTTGCTCCACTGGAGAAAAAGATGAGGCAGTCTGCTTCCCTAAATTATAGCCTTGAAAACCCTATGGGGCAGTTCTGCCCTGTCCTACAGAGTCACTATAAGTCAGAATCTATTTGGTGGCAGTGGGTTGGGGTTGGGTTTGGGCCTCCTCCAGAGGGCAGCTGGGACCCCCTCTCTAGGATGTGGTACACCCCTTGCTGAGAGACCTTCCATTTACAGGTTGTCTGGTAGAGAGGCGCCTCTCAATGAGTGGGGATCCCCTATCTAGTGTCTGGGGATCACTTGGGTGATGTTGAGAGAGCCCTTTTTGGACCCCAAGAGCCCTCTTTTAGCCCCAGGCCTAGGGTCCTTGAAGCCCAAAGAGGGCCCATCCCATGCACTCCCAGTGCCCTCCATTCTAGTTTAGCAGGAACTGTCTGCAGCTGTGGAGTCACCATCCCTGGAAGCAGGTTCTGATGCTGTTAGGAGAAGAGGAGGGGGCACTCCTCTAGGGGGAAAAAACTTGGGGTAAAAACCATCAGTCTGAGAGTTATTCCCAGCTTGGCAGGGCTTCAGGCCTATCTCTACCCTCCACACACACACCCCTCACTCTCCCCTCCCCAACCCCAGGCCACACAGCCTGTTAGGAGTGGGTCAGGGGCCGCCAATCCTGTTGTGTGGCCTCTCTGGGCCACCCTAGCCAAAGCCAGACTTCACTATTCCTGTCTGCAAAATGGGTGAGGTGATGGGCGGTCACCAGCTTCCTTCCCTCAAAGTTACCTTTTATCAGCACTTTACCCATAACTGCCAAGCCTTGTCTCAATAGCCCCAGGTGGGGGACCCGGAACTGACTGTGGAAACCAAGGTGGGGGCAGCAGGGGTGGGGCAGGAAGAGGCCATGGAGCCACTTCCCCTTCTGGGTAGACTCAGGGGAAACATTGGGGCCATGTTGGCCCCATGGGTCCCCTAACCCCAGATACACCCGGGTGACTTCCTTAAAACGCTGTAGGGCTGAGCCTGTAGAACTGCTGTGTGACCCAGGTCAGGTTTTGGCCTCTCTGAAGCGGGTGGAGGGATACCTGGCTCCCTCTGAGCCAACCCCGCTCCCCGCTCCCTCCACCTCAGGGGCGATAGGTCAACTTGTCCCCACCGCCTGAGCTTCCCGTTTCCTGTCCCCCATCAGGCTCCACTTTGCCCTGGGAGAAGATTCCAATGCCTCCTCCTCTTGGCAGCCCCCCAGTCTGACTGCGCCTCCCTGAACACCGCCAGGACCAATTCTCCCTTCGGTCTTGCCCTGACTTCCCTCACTCTGAACTGGGGATGACCGTGTACAGCGGTGCTCGGCACTGGCGTTGCTTGAGCGTAGGCCAAACCCAACGGCCGGGTGAAAAGGAGTGGGTTTGAGCAGCAGTGCATCCACAGCCACCAGGGGGCGCCAGCGCTCTGCAAACGGCGCTGAGGCAACCCCGGGCTAGCTGGAAACCCCCTCCACATACACCCCTCTCCCTTGGGGAGACTGAGGCCCAGAAAGAGGGCGCAGCCTGTAAGATCCCTTGCTCTGGGATCTGTGGGAACGGGGAAGGGCGGACCTAGGTGTGCCTGGAGCGACGTGCGGGATCTGCAGAGGTGTGCCAATTTAGTACGAGTTTGCCAAAGGCTGAAGACTAGGTTGGGTGTTTTGGGGGGGCGGGTTGATGACCCGGGCTGCATGGCTTTGACGTTGCAAATGACTTCTCCTAGTTCTGCAGATGCAGAAACTAAGGTCCCAGAGATTGTCACTTCTGAGGGTTCCCAGCTGAAAAGGGGTCGGAATCCTGGGTGGTCGATGAGGGTGGGGTGGTCGAGCAAGCACCCCGAGTGGAGGGAGATCCCCACCTATTTCCTCCATCCTCATTTCTGAGGGGAACAGGCCTGGGGAGGCCCTGCCTCTCACGCCCCCGAGTGGGGCCAGATCCTGCCTCGCTCAGATTGGACGTGCCTGGAGTCACATCTGCAGGTGGAAGGAAGTTGATGATTAAGCGCAGGTGCTCGCTGATCTGGGTGTCTTCAGGCCTGGGCCCCGCCTCTGGACCTCAGTTTTTCCGTTTCACTGCCAGGGTCCGTGAGAGACAGGCTCTGGCCTCTTGGATCCTGTTGCCCCCGGGTCAGCCCGGGGAGAGGGCGTGGCCCGGAGCTAGGGAACACCGGCCAGCTGGTGTTTGTTATTTTCCTCCACGCCTGGTCGGAGCCACGCCCCTTATCCTGCCATTGGAGCTCGCGTCGGGGGGCGGGGCTGCCTTTCGCGCACCACCGCCCTCGCCCTATAAAAGCACAGCCAGCGCAAGGCGCTGGCAGTTTTGTCGCTGGCTGCGCTGGTGCGCTTGCGCACGCCGGAAGGGCTTGCGTTTCTAAACTGCAGCGTCTAGGATTTGTGCTGCTGCGGCCTCCGCAGCGCCACGGGTTCGAGGCCGGGGTCCGCGCGTGTCGGGTTCGCGTCACAGGCGCGATGCTGTTCGACAAGGTGAAGGTGTTCCTGGTGCAGCTGGACGAGGCGAGCGCAGGCGCGGAGCCCGTGTTCAGCGGAGGCCAAACCGTGGCGGGCCGGGTGTTACTGGAGCTGTCGGGCGCGGTGCGCGTGGGCGCCCTGAGGCTGCGTGCTAGGGGCCGCGCTCACGTACACTGGACTGAGTCGCGCAGCGCGGGCTCGAGCACCGCGTACACGCAGAGTTACAGCGAGCGCGTGGAGGTGGTGAATCACCGCGCCACGCTCCTCGCTGCAGGTACTGCTGGGAGGCGGGGGCTGCGCGCCGCCCAGCTGATGGCGGTACCTCCGCGCAGCCTCTGAGCCCCACTCTGCTCCTATCTGCAGACACCGGAGAGACCACGACTCTGCCTCCCGGGCGCCATGAGTTCCCGTTCAGCTTCCAGCTGCCCCCGTAAGTCCTAAGTCTGCAGTCCTTCCAGGTTTGGGGGATGTCCGGGGAACATCTGAGCACCAAGACTGTCTCCTTGGTGGTGGTGGTGGTGGGGGACCTTGAAAGTATCTCCGAGTATCCCATCTAGTGCCTTAATCCCTGGATCCCACTGTGTGTATCTTGCCTCTAAAGTCCCTTCCCGTCTTCTTCCAGGACCCTGGTGACATCCTTTGAAGGTAGACACGGCAGCGTCCGCTACAGCATCAAGGCAACCTTACACCGGCCCTGGGCTCCCGCTCGGCGGGCAAGGAAGGTGTTTATTGTCATTGAACCCGTGGATATCAACACTCCGGCCCTGCTGGTGTGTAGCCATCCCAAAACTCTAATGGGGGTGCTGCAGGCAAGGACCTGGCCACTGGAGGACCCCAGCAGCTTCCTAACACACTTACCCCCCACCTGTTGGGAGTCAAGGCTTGGCCCTGGGAGGGAGGTGGGCAGGTATTGGAAAGCATTTGGAGCTAAGTGGAACCAGGTGCAAATCCCCTTATATGCTGTACAGCTCTGGGCAAGTGTCTTGTTCTTTCTGAACCTCAGATGCCCTGGCTGTGAAATGATGCGTAGACCAGGGCTGACAATTACAATTGCTTCTTCTTGTTAGTTGCTATCGATTCGATTCTGACTCATGGCAACTGCATGTGTACAAAATAGAACAGCTTAATAGGGTTTTCAGTGGCTGTGACCTTTTGGAAGCTTAATCATTTGTACCACTCAAGGAGTCCAATAATGGCTTAAACCTACTGCCGTAGAGTCAATTCCAACTCATAATGACCCTGCTGGATTTCCAAGGCTGTAAATCTTTAAGGAAGTAGATTGCCTCATCTTCCTCCTGTGGAGCAGCTGGTGGTGGATTAGAACCATCAGCTTTCTGGTTAGCAGCCAAATGCCTTACCCACTACAGCACCAGAGTGAGCACTTCACATACTGAGCATTTGGCTTGCTTATTTCATTTTCAGTCTCTTAAGGCATACTGTATCCCTGGGTCAAGATCCCTGGGTGGATAGTTTGTGCTCAACCACTGACCTAAAGTTGGCCAGTTCGAACCCACACAGCAGTGCTGTGGAAGAAAATTCTGGTGAACTGCTTCCCTTAAGGTTACAGCCAAGAAAATCCCATGGAGTAGTTCTGTTCTGCCACACAGGAGGTCACTGTGAGTCAGAATTGTCTCAATGACAACCAACAACGTCAACCACAGCATCCCTGGGTCCATTTTACAGATAGTCTTGGGATTATTTTTTACAAAAAAAAAAAAAAACTAGGCCCCATCCCCTGAAGCCCTCTCTAAGCGTTAGGGGTTGGGGAGCTCCATGAAGTTTGCAGAGTGACCTGTTCCTGTCCCTCTCCTCCACCCTGGCAGGCACCCCAGGCAGGCGCACGGGAGAAGGTCGCCCGGGCCTGGTGCTGTAACCGCGGCCTTGTCTCCGTCTCAGCTAAGATCGACCGAAAGGGCTACACGCCAGGTAGCTGAGTGGCAGGTGGGGCCGGTAGGAGGGCCAGAGTTTGGATGGCTGTGGTTGGTGAAACTGAGCACCCCATTCCCTGTGGCAGGTGAGGTGATCCCCGTCTTTGCTGAGATCGACAACGGCACCACACGCCCTGTGCTGCCACGGGCAGCTTTGGTCCAGACGCAGACCTTTGTGGCACGAGGCGCCCGCAAGCAGAAGCGGGCTGTGGTGGCCAGCCTGGTGGGTGAGCCTGTGGGCCCTGGGCGGCGGACTCTGTGGCAGGGCCGGGCACTTCGGATCCCACCCGTGGGCCCCTCCATCCTGCGTTGCCGGGTGCTGCACGTCGATTACGCCCTCAAGGTAGTAATGCTTTTTGTTGGTCATGGGGGGAGGGGCTGTGTCCACTCTGTCTTCAGAATGGGGTTCCGGGAGGGTAGACTTGAGGTCTCAGGCTCCCACAGCATGGGAAGTGGGGGGAGGGGCAGGATGGCTCTCTTCTGTGGAAGGAGGGGAGGTGGAGGCAACCTGGGCACTCTCCTTGCAGCTCACTCCCCAGACCTGCAGGTTCTCTGTCATCAGACTGGGGTTCCTGAGGGTGGACCTGGCCCTCGGGCTCCCTGGCCAGGGAGGGGGTCAGCAAGTATAGAAGAAGGGGAGAGGAGTGGGCAGGGCAGAGACTCTCTGGACACCCTCTGTTACGGTTCACTCCCTTGGTCTGTATCTGCCCCCAGATGCGTTTCCTGAGGGTGGACCTGGGGCCTCAGGCTCCCAGGGATGTGCAGGGGTGAGGGGTCAGGAAGTATCTGAAGGAGGAGGAGAGGGAAGCAGGCATGGTGGAGGCTGTCTGGACACCTTCCGTTATGGCTCTCTCCCAGGTCTGTGTGGACATCCCAGGCACGTCCAAGCTGCTCCTGGAGCTGCCGCTGGTCATCGGCACTGTGCCTCTGCACCCTTTCGGCAGCCGCTCCTCCAGCGTGGGTAGCCATGCCAGCTTCCTGCTGGACTGGGGGCTGGGCGCTCTGCCAGAACAGCCTGAGGGTAAGTGCCAAGTCCTGCCGCAGGGTCGAGGGCCAGAGGAAGGGATGCCATGTAACTCGCCCGGCCTTAGTCCCTCTGCTGATCATGGTGACAGCCACAAGTGCCCCCCAAAGTCCCAGTCACCTCCCAGGCACCCTTCCACCTCTGCCAGTCTCACTCATCCCCCCCGTCTCCCATTTCCAGCTCCGCCTGAGTACTCAGAGGTGGTAGCAGATGAGGAGGTGGCTGCTGCGGGGGAGAACCTCTTCCCGCTGCGGCCCGACCTCGACCTAGGCCTTGAGGGCCCCTTCTTCACCTACATCCAGGAGTTCCGCTACCGCCCACCACCCCTGTACTCTGAGGTGAGCTTCGGGGTCCAGGCATTCCCCATGCCTTTCCAGGCCTTAGGGTGGGAGATGTAGGAGACGGGTTTTAAATGTTAATGAAAGAATTTCTATACATGCTTCACCCAAATTCCTATGTATACCTCAGTACCCAATCTCCCGTGGTAGGCCCATCTACTCTAGGTGTTGCCCTTTGGTCGCCTCTTTCCTGTACAAGGGAAAGGGCATTTTAGCTGAGACTTTGGCATATGAGTAGGAGGTCAGCTGACAGCCAAGTGAGAGGGAGAAGTTGGAGAAGGGCAGCCTTGGGAAATAAGTGGGGCAAGAAACTGAGCCTCCAGTTTCCCTCAAGGACTGATGGGAACTTCTCCCTCAGGAGGACCCTAACCCGCCCCCAGAGGCCATCAGACCCCGCTGCATGACCTGCTGAGCAGTGAGTGGACACTTTGAGGGATGAAGCTGCACACTGCTTGCAGCCACCACAGATACGGGAAGCAGCTGGAGCAAGGACGAACCAGCCTGACTGCTTTAAAGTTGGAGAAATGGAATCGCAGATGGGGCAGAGGCTGCTCCAAGATCATACGGGACAGAGAGAAAGCCAGGCTGGAATCTGATGTATCTGGGCTGCCTGTGCTCTTAAGGCATCTAATGTCCAGTGCAGGGTCCGAGTTAACGTTTAACATGTCTATGTCCAGCCTTGGGCAGTGCTGGGATTCCCAAGAAGCCTCCAGTCTGCGAGCGTCCGGAGGTGGATCTGGGATCCAGACATAGATACTTCCAGCCTCATGAGACCACAGGAAAGGACTCTGGGGCTGGGGAAAGTCCAAAGGGGACCAGGGAAGGTATCCTCAAGAAAAGGGTTTTTTAGCTGAGGCTTTGGCATATGAATAGGAGCTCAGCAGGCAGGCAAGTGAAAGAGAGAAGTCGGAGAAGGTTGGAGCTAAGAGAAGTTTGGAACCCAGTCTCTTCATTTGAAGGGAGAGACCTGGGGGCTCAGAGGCAGGTGCCTCAGTTGAGGTCACATGGCAAGGTCTGGCAGTAGAGAGAAGTTCAAGGGAGCAGGTCTTTGGAGCAATGTGGGGGAGTGTGAGTGGTAGGGGCAGTGGCTCCAGCCTCTGAAAGCCAGAGCTTCCTGGCCTGGGCTGCAATTGCCCAGGAGCTTGTCTGAGTATCTCAGTACGTAAGGGCCCCCTGGGCAGAAAACCAAGACTCAGGGACAACTAAGACCGATGACATAACTTGCAAAATGAAAATGCAGGCCCCCTATTCAAAGAGTGAAGAATTTCAAGAAGGGGACCACAGAACATTAACGCCAGCGCAAAACCTCATGGGACTGCTCAGGCCACATACTCCAGGGACAGGCCAGCCTGGGGACCCTGTGTCCTGACAGCACAGTGTGACGAGGCAGCTGGATCAAGCCCCTAGCTGCAGAATCGCAGTCCTGGTTGGAGCAGGGCTTCTGCCTGGGGCTCAGCATTTCTGATAAACCTTTAAAAAGTGTAGTCTTTTTGTACAATTTTTTTCAAAATAAAAGTGTGGAAGAGGAGACGGGGCTCACTGGTTCATTTTTTGCCCAAACTTCCAAGGGAGCTAGGGTGGTCTTGACTGCTGGTACAGTCCCTTCTGGGCCACTGCCTTGGGGACTGAATTCCAGGCCAAGGAATGTCGAGGGGCCTGTTGTCCAGAAGGTGAAACTGAGGCTTGGGGCTAGGAGGCTGCTGGCCCAGGGCAAACAGGGAGACTGAGCTGGGCGTGGGTGGGACCTGGTGGATCTTCCTGTGCCGGCCACCAGCCAGAGCAGACCCAGATGCTGAGGTCATGAATGGTGGAGGAAGGTGGGACTGCTCCTATAGGGCTGGAAATGGGGCGGGGCTTGGCTCCCTATCAACCTGAGTCACTCTCTGAACTCTATTACTATTGTTAAGGTAGAAATCACTTTTTTAAAAAAATTTTTGTGATTTGGGTGAAAGTGTACAGAAAAAATTCATTTTCCATACAGCAGTTCATACACATTTTGTCTCATGACATTGACTGCAGTTCCCTACAATGCAAGAGCTCTCTTCCCACTTCCTCCCTGTAGTTACCTCTTCCCTGTGTCCTTTCCTGCCATGCACTCCTGCCCCTGAGCTGTCTCCCTGGGCAAACACTGCCCTTCTATTTTCCCATGATTTCACAGGATTGATCACTCCAAAGAGTGTATCTACATAATGTAAATGTTCACCCCCAAATTCACAGTGAACAATTCAGTGGCATTTAGTTCATTCACAATGTGCACTACCCCGTCTACCTCGTTCTAGAACATTCTCATCATGCCGAGGAAACCCCATAACCTTTAGCAGTTCCCATCCTGAAGCTTTAGGCGACCACCGATCTCCTTTCCTGTCTGTGGATGTGCCTGTTCTGGACCTTTCATATCAATGGAATCAGACACTCTGGCCTTTAGTGTCTGGCTTCTCTCAATGAGCATCATGTGTTCAAGGTTCACCCACATGGTAGTGTCTCGGAGCTTCAGTCCTCTTTTTTTTTTTTTTTTTCCTTCTCTGTATCTTCCTTTTCCTTAGAGTTCTTGTGTTGGTCACTCGACTTGGTATATTGCCTTTCT